TGGATTAATACTTAAGACAGAGCTAGCCGATAAGAAACTAATACCTGGCCAATAGTATTATATCAAATACAGAGTCTCAGTGTGTTAATTGGGGCAGGCATGGTGGCAGGACCAGACAAGCAGTGGGAGGAAAAACCAAAACAATCCAGCAAGGGAGGAGTTTTATACCTGGGCCACAGAAGAAGGACTGATCATCTCAGAGTTTCCAAGTAACTCAGTGCAGTCCCTTAGTAGTGGGTCCAGCTCTGTCCTACAAATAGATGGACCTAGGGGGAGACATGGCTAACTGTACCAGGCACTTCTCATAGCTGATGCTGAATGGTTCTTGGGTTTTCATGAAGCCCTCTGGGCTATGGTCCAGGAAAAAAGCAACCCACATGGGAGACACACATACTTCTGACACTGGATCAGACCTGTTAAATCAACAGCTTTTAGTAGATCTTGACATGTTCAGAGCTCAGGTAAGCACCTCCTAACTACAGTCTTGGAGCAGCTATGTCCAGCCAAAGTTCTATAGGGAGATACTTCTGAAGTCTCTAGGGTAGGCCTGTCTGCTAATGTTCTAAAGTGACTCCTCTGTGATTCAAAGACTTGGATCTTAGTCCTAATTTTTTGTGGCTATGCATCGAGAAAGGCTTGTTTGCATAAGACTAGAAGGAAACATCTCCCACAATGCCTTTGCAGGTTCTTGGGATGGCCTTATACCTGGGCTTAAGTTCCTTTCAGCCACAGATCAGAACAGTATGGCCCATTTTCTAGGATTTTGTCAGTGTCATCTAGAAGCCCAGAGGAAGAGATTCCATTCTATGAATCCAGCACAAGTTTTGCTGTATAAAACCCCTATCACCAGCCCCAAAGAACTCACTTCTGGGGCAGTCCATCCTATTCAGGATAAAATAGGATGCATACTCCTTGGAACACTGATGTCCATCAACTGTGGCCTCCATAGCAGATGCAGTCCAAACAGATGACTTAATCATACAAAAGACAAAATAAGTGAAGTCAAATGCAGGTTATTTTAATAAGACAGTCAGTGGGGAAAAAGCAAGAAACAAAGAAAAAAGGAAGGAGTAAATAAATCATGGTGGACTGAAGGGATACTTTCAGATATATAATGGTGTGAGTTCCAGATGGAGAGGAGAAAGCAGTGTCTGGAAATACTTGAATCTTGGGAGATATAGAGAAGTCCATTTCCAAAAAGCTTGAGATACCCCTAGAGTAATCAAAGCAAACCAGCACAGCCAGCCATATTAATCAAATTCTCAAAAGAGAGAACTCTGAAGCAGCAAAAGAGAACAAAGGTATCATATATAAGGGAACAGCCTTCAGATTTTTTGTCAAAATCTCAGGAGAAACCACAAACCTCAGGAGAGAGTTAGAATACTGCATTTACAGTATTAGAAGCAAGCAAGCAAACAAACAAACAAAAAAACAAAACAAAAAAAAACTCCCAACCAGGAAAACAGTATTTGGCAACGTTGTCCTCTAGACTAAAGGCTAAAGGAGTCTATCAACATGAAGACAGTAGTGCTAAAAAAGGAGTCATCAATCTGTTATGAACAAAACACTAAATAACACACAAAATTTTATGAACATGAAAGCTTATCAGCTTTGTCCCAGAGTTGATGGCACTTACCAGCATGTGGCTCTGATAAAAGAAGAGGTCTGAGAGAAAAGCAGGAATGCCTGCCTTCACTTCCTCATGTATGGGTGTGCTTATCACTCCTGCTGCCATCCCCTGCTGACTCCAAACTCCAGTTTCTTCATTCTAGCCAGGTAAACTAAACACCAGTAATTCTTCTGGGGACTCCTAGGCTTTTGAGGCTGGGTGGCACTTCTGAGGCCTCTAGCATCATAGACTGAACAGCTACCAGGTCCTATGTCTCTCTAGTGTTCAGGCAGGCACTGGACTGCCCTGTCCCCACTGTGTGATTTCCTTTGTAACACACACACACACACACACACACACACACACACACACACACACACACAAATACTCAATGTACTTTAGGAGCTATAGCAGTAACATTGTCAACATGTGAGCCTGTAGGGGCATTGTGGATCTCCCCGCTCCCTACCTCCATTACAGTTCTGTTTACAGACACACTTGTCTCGATTCACATAGAAGAACTGAAACTAATGTTTGTGGGTATATGTGTGTACACATGTGTATGTGCACATATGTGTATTTGTGTGCATATTATCTCCCCCCAAACAAAGAAGAACAATAAAAATAGACAAATAAATAAAGGCAACTGAAGTATGATAAAACTAGAAGTTGATTCTTTGAAACAATAAAATTGATAAAAATTCAGAAAGATTAAGAAAGAAAATCTCAAATCAGAAATGAATAAGAAGATATTGGAAATTATTTATAGAAATAGAAAGGATCATATGTGACAACTGGGAACAATTTATAGCAATTATTTGGATAATCCAGAATATTAAGACAACATAGAAGATAAGTTCCATGAAGCACACAAAAGACTAAGACTAATTCAGGGAGGCAGAATATCTTAGTGAGCCATTAAGAAGGCTGGGTCAAGAGTTTTGATTTTCATCAAAGAAAAAAAATGTGAGCACCTGGTGGCATTACTGAGTCCTATAAAATACTCAAAGAAGAAATAACACCAATGCTTCACAAACTCTTCCAAAGAATCAAAGAAGACAGAACACGTCTAAGCTAATTTCAACAGACGATCATTACCCTCTGTCTGACCCCAAAGCCAGTCAAAGACACTGCAAGCAAATGCTAGTATGGAAAACATATGCACATTAACGCACACATTCAATAGGATAATTAAATGATCATGTATGTGACCAACTGGAATTGTCTTTGAAATGGAAGTATTATTATTATTATTATTATTATTTAAGCGTCAGGGTTTCTCTATATTGCTTTGGAATCTGTCCTGGAACTAGCTCTGTAGACCAGGCTGGCCTTAAACTCACAAAGATCTACCTGTCTCTGCCTCCTGAGTGCTAGGATTAAAGGTGTGCATCACCAACGCCCGGATGAGATGAAAGTATTATTAAGCACACACAATAACACGACATACCATGCCAAGAGAATATAGGGTAAAAATTGCATGACCATTTCAATTTCAATGGATACAGAAGGAACATTTGAGAAAATTCAACACTATCTCATAATTAAAAATAAATTCTCAAAAATATTATATATATATAATACATATATATATATATATATATATATTCCAACAACACCAACGAGTGTAAAAACAAAACAAAACACACATAATACACATCATACTCAGTGATAAAATAAGATGATGAATACTTTCTCTGTATTGGGAATAAGAGAAGGATATCTATTCTCACTGCTTCTATTTGGCATAGTACTGGAAATACTAAACAGCAAGTAGGCAAGAAAAGGGAAACCTACACATACATATAGGAAAGGAAGAAATGGAATCGTGTCTACTGATGACTTGATCTTATATACAGAAAATGCCACAAAGAGGTCACACATGCATAAACAATACACACACACACACACCATTCAAACTGACATATGAGCTCACTACAGCTAGAAGATACAAAATCAGCATACATAAATCAGAACTGTTTCTGAACACTGGAAACTATACAAAAATGAATTAAAGAAACATCCCCTTTGCAAAATAGTAAAATAGGAGTAAATTTAAGGAAGTTCAGCATCTATCACTGAAACCTATAAAATATCAGTGAAGGAAATTAAAGAAGGAAAAAATAGATGTCATTACATTGAGTTTTCATGGATTAGGAATATTAATATAGCTACATTAGATGCTAACGACCAGCTGTAATGCCTATTCCAGAAGCTCTGGCACTGTCTTCTGGCCTCTGCTGATACCTCTACCCGTTTGCTTCCATACCTCCCAAATAAAGAAAAGATTTATTTTTATTTTAAAAGAGCATATGTATGTGGAGACTGGGGGCATGTGCATGTGAGTGCAGCTGCCTGTGGAAACCAGAAGATGGTGGTAGATTCCATGGAGCTGGAGTGACAGGTGGTTATAAAATACTATGTGACCTCTGGATTAGTAGTTGGTTTCTTAACCACTAAGCCATCTCTTCATGCCTAACAACAACAGCAGCAGAAGCATTAATAAATCTTGAGATAATTACTTTGATTCTGTCTTCACATGCTGTGTGTGAAATACACTGTACCCCATAAATACATAGATCATGATGTAGCTATAAAAAAAAGAAGCCTGAGAACACATACATGCTCACACCACTCACTGCACAGTGCAACTTCATATACAAACTATACTCATACCACATATCCAACAGTGCAACCATACACACATATTTTGTGATATACAAGGTTCAGTTTACAGCAAGATGTTTATACTATTACTTTGCTAATTGAAGTTAGTAAGCATATCACTGTTCCATGTATCTGGCTTTTGTCAAATTCAAACAAGGAGTCCTGCCTTTGCAGCCTACCCAGACTGGTACATGAGCTTTCAAAGATACACCTTGAAACGACATTGTTAACAGGGCTTCCAAACAAATAGCATTTATTGAACATGGGAGCTGGCCTAGCCCTCTTACTTTATTAATGAAGAAAATGAAGATCACCAAGTTTAAATGGCTTTTCAGTGTCTGTTTACAATTTAGAAAAGTATCTAATCTTTTATAATTGAACCTATTCTGTTCATACTTAAAGCCAAAGACAGTGTTTCCTCTTCTTGGACTATTTCCTAAGCAATGACAATTGCTCTTGCTAGAATGGAGAACAGTTCCTACTTAAAATAAAGATCAGCCACTACAACTGCTTCTGTATCTCTTTCCTTGTGGTCTCCAATACTTCCTCAAATGCTACTCTGCAGAGACAATGCCTGTGCTTGCCAACTCTGCCGTCAGACACTGAATCCATGAAACTGGCAGAATAAGGGGTTTGCCAGACATTGCCACAGAGCTGAGTTCACTGCCTTTCCCTCCAGTGCCAGGTTCACCAGTTTTTCCCACTCCCAACACTGGTCACATACCTGAGTTTTTCAGTTCCAGCTTTGTACCTGGAGATCCGCGCCATGGACAAAGGGACTGACAAGGTGTCTAGCCAACGCTTCTCATACTTTGGTTCATTAGCTATGGGTGAGGAAGGTGATGATGGAGCCTGTGAAAAATAAGCAAGAGGCAGTTAATGCAGGACCAGTCAGAGCACTGTTCTCTGGTGAGGCTTCCAGCTGAGGCACCCATCCCACAAAATGCAGATTAGCACACTTCAACTGATGAGAACATACAAGATCACTTCTCAGAGATCCAGACAGAATGCAGTTCCCATATTTGAAAATAAAAGCCCTTAAAATAAGTTTTAAAAAATGTTTTTGCGAAAAGGAGAGGGCAGAGAGAACTGCATTTGGAGGAGAGCCTTACAGTTGTGACAGAACTTAAAAATGTGGAACCTTAGGAGAAAATAGTTCAAAACCAGCTGAGCTGATGAAAGCCAGAGACCAATTAATATGGGCAAAATGGAATTGCTTCTACCAATGGCAAATGAATCCAAGTTATGAGGTATATTTCTAGGTCAGGCATGGTGAGTCTTGAGTTTCTTTGTTAGATATTCAGAAATATGGGAAGTCATACCTCTTCTTGACCTGTGAGGGACAGAGTCCCTAAGGGGATGACTATAGCTCTTAATTTTCAGGCTTTGGAGATCCCAAAGGTCACATAAATCCTAAAGATTAACCTCAGACATCAGGTACCTTTGAAGGGAACTGTGACAAAACCTCTAATGAACTTCCTCAACTTCCTTCTATAGAGTGTGTTTATTGTGATCAACCTGACCCATGGCCTGTGTCAAGTAAGGGGAATATGGCTTCTCCATTGGTCTCATGTGTTCATATGAAGATCTTACTTTAGGCTCACACTGGAACCAGGAGCCTCACCATACAGGTCTGGTTTTGGTGAGGTGACATGGTCCAGTTGCCTGGACCTGAGGCTGAAGAAATATATCCTTGGGGATGTAGAGAATAGACAAACACTCTGCCAACAGGAAGAAAGACTGTGAGCTTGTAGAAAAAGTCTAATTGCCCTGAGCTATGTACACATGGTTGTGTTCTCCCATGTAGCATAGGACTTGGGCATGGGGGTCTCATTGGCTAATATAGATACTAACTTTTTTGGAAGCCCACCCTTGGGCACCGCTAATAGGCCACAAGAAATCTCCCAAAATCTGGGGGACCTGGTAAGGAGAGATATGAGCCGAGTGGGCACCCTCCAGAAGACCAGAGTCTGAATGACCTCTGAGGTCAGCTACACTAAGCAGCCCTTCCTAACTTGCAGATTACTTAAGGACATAAAACACTTTATTTAAAAAAAAAAAAACAATGACAAGAATGAGGTACTAGTTCACAAATACCAGAGGCAGCAGCTGTGAGACAATAGTTATGAAGGAACAATTGGATTTGCCTCCTTGCATTGTATCCAAAAGGGTCACACAACAGTGGGGCCCAGCCAGGTTTCCTGCTCCACACTCTCAGTCAGCTACTATGCTCGGTAATTATTCAGAAAATAGGAAACAGGTTCTGTTGGTGAAAATAAGAACGTGCTAACAAGAATAGTAACTGTTCAAAATGTGCTTTTCTTTATAGCACATATGGATTAACTAAAATATTTTAAACTTTCTTCTCATCCCAACAATCTGGCGTACTGAAAACTATGTTGATAGTTATGATTCTTTAGGCTCAATTCCTACAAGTCTCATGTCCAACTTCATCAGGCTGAGCCAGCCACTGAGTATTAGATGAAATAGTTCCTTGAATGCCTCCTTGTTGGCAAAGGTGCATCCTTCATCCTGAGACAGTGGCTTCTATAAGCAGCTGGGAGATATTTATCTACCAGGGAGAGAAATGCTGACATCAAAACATCACATCAGAAGATGTGACAACATGAGGCCTCCTGGGGCGTTCTGCAGCTGTGAGAAAGGTAACATACAAGTGTCTAAGGTGTCACCTCTCTGGATACTCATCTGGATATTCAGAGAGTCAACTGCACCTCCAATCCAAGCACAGGGGAATCTCAAATTCCAGCTTGACAGCTAGCACCTGTGCTTGACTCCAACCCCTTGGATCCCTTCTGGACATTTGCCCTAAGCAGCCTTTTCCCTGTGCATTTGTCTGGGGATTCTGCTAGATATGGAGATCCTGTTTCTCCCAGGTTTCTCTTGTAGCCTGGTAGGTTATTTCTGCTCTGTCACAGAGTCCAGCTAAGTCAAACTCTGAACCTGTCCCCTTGCCTTTGAAGTCAAAAGAATAGCACATTGTTTCTTTTCCATTATCCTAACACAGAACCCTAGAGGGGTGCTTTCCTGTAACCTGCCTTGCTGTGGGAGCTGGCAGCCTCAATCACCAGGTTCTTGTTGCTTGAAAGCAAAGGCCTTGCTTTATCCAGCTTAAATTTTGTTTTTAACTGCTGCCTCCTGTCATTGGAAATTTTCTTGTGTGAGAATTGTGTTACAGAGGAAATCGAGGTTGACCATTTAGGTCTTCATGTCTATGTCTGACAACATGTAGCCTATCAGCTTAAAAAAAAAAAAACCTCACTGAACATATAAATGGCACAGACAATTTCTCAAAGACAAATTTCCAGTTCAGTTTCAGTGAAATTCAGTTTATTGATATTAAATGTGACCTTGGACTCTTTCAGTATCCAGGTTACCTTGACACTTCAGTTTAGCCCAGCACCATGGAATGCTGCCTTGATGCAGTTGTCACTCTAGTTGGGATCCTCTACTGCTCTTATACCTTGATCTGTTTGCCTCCAACTTCCCATGTTTGTGAGCTACATAAATGTACTTTAGCAGAGCATTGACATAATTTTGTAAAGAAATTTTAACTCAATTATCCATTCAGCAGAATGAAATGCAATGCTTAACAATGTTTAAAAAGATTTCACCTTGGAGATAGGTATTATTCCTGAGGTCTGGCTGGTAAAGCCACAACAAGCGGGTAGAGTGAGGTGACATCTAGTACCTTGTCAGTTAACACATATTCATCCCGCCCCTACTTTACCTGAGCACAGTTTGTGACTTCCTGCTCTACTCAGATGTTTGTTAAAAAACAAAACAAACAAACAAAAAATCCCCAAACACTCAGCACTCATAGGTATAATGTTTATTTGTATAACGTTTATTTCCGTGACCAATTTTAAAAAGCACCAGCAAAGTGCCTGAGGACTTGTTAAAGCCATGGATCATGGATACTCTGATATACTATGCAATAACATTCATTACTCAGAAGAGATTAGCAAGAAGAGACCATGCAAAGTGTCAGTTTGAACACAAACAAAATGTTCCAACATAGCTTTTGGTGTGGTGTATGTATTTCTTGCGTGAAACTCATCATAGAGGGCTGCTATATCTCGATATTGTTTGTAGGTAACCCTAGAATGATTTCGGCTTTAGAAAAAAACACTTTGATCAACAAATAATCACTAAACCTAGGACAAGAGTCTGTCTCTAGCTGTGTGGACACTTCATGTTCAATTTAAAATAATAATGGCTGCTCAGCAGATAAAACCTGCCTGTGGGTCTCAGCTTGCAATTTCCATCTTCTCAAATCCTGCTGGGGCTGTGAGCCCTTGATAACATGATTTTAGAGAACAAAACTGCACAAGCATAATAAAAAGAGCAATATTTGACCAGAGGAGGGAAAACTGATGACCCCAGGAAAGCCCTGATTGAAAGTGAAAGCTGCAAGACACTATCCAGGCGCTCATGGTTAGTGCTGTTCCCAAAGGGGCTTGGTTGACTCTCTCCTTAGAGGGAACTGTCATTTATAAGTACCTGAAAACTATTTTTTAAAAGATTCCTATGAGAAGTCACAAGTGCTGCTATCTGTTAAATCTGTGAAAGCTTACAGATGACAGTGTCTGAGGTTTGGCTGGGAAACCCACAGCAAGCAATAGAGGAGACAGATGCCCACTGCTTTGTCAGCAGCTGTGTGCCCTTCCCGTGCTTCACCTATGCACAGCCCACTCTAGCTGTACCCACTTCTAATTTTTTTTGGGGGGGGGCTATAGCATCTGACAAAAAGAGAATAATAGGTGATACAAAAAATTGAAGAGAGTGGACAATCTTGTGCGACTAGATCTGAAAAATCTTCAAAACCATTTACAGACGTAGAAGAGACAGACAGCTGTTAGAATTCCTTTCCCGTCAGCCGTAGCTCTGTACATACTTTGACCTGTGGACACCGTTCTTGGTGCACACCTGGCCTGTTAAACCCTACTCCAGCAACACTGGCCCTTAGCACCTCTGGCCTTCCTCATGCCTGACTCCTTGGATACCTGGCTCTGCCCACCCCCTGACTCTGGTGGGAGGACAGCCTGGAAGGAGGGGTTTCAGGACCCAAAGGTATCCAGAGTCCCCACACCTGCAGTTTGCAGTCAAGGGTGCAGAAAAACAAAATATCGAGTGACTGAGAAGTCAAGCTCTTGATAAAGGCCCAGAGTTGTGCTCTCATGTCCTCAGAGGTATTTAGAGGCGTTTAAACTGCTAACCACTTTGAAGTGGAAGCATGCCGTGAACGGTGGGTTTGCTGCCATCCCCACCTGCCTCAGTAAATGCTTACTATGCTGTACTGCAGAAGACGACTAAGGAGGCACAAAAAATGCTCAGGTTTCTTCCCCACAACTGAGAGGTGTGTCGCTGTTGCTAGGATAAAACACCCAGGAAAAAGAGGGAGTAATTTATTTCAGTTGTTTCAGGGCTTATGGTTCACGGTTGGCTCCACGCTGTGGGCCTGACAGAGGGCTGAGAGGCGACAGTGGAAGACTGTGGTATTGTATACCAGTTATTCCCCTTGTAACTGTGAATAATTCCTGACAGCTTAAAGGAAGGCAGATTCATTCTGGTTCACAGCTTGAGAGTATACAGTCCATGATGCTGGAGAAAGCATGGTGGCAGTCACAGCTTGCCACTGGAGCAGCAGGCCCTTTGCCCCCAGCAGTTACCTGGCTAGAACTGCAGACCTGTGCCTGCCTGCTATGTAAAAAAAAAAAAAGAAAAAAAAAAAAAAGGTTCCCCAACTGCCCCAAAGTACAAAGTATTTAAACACTGAATGTGTCAGAGTTATTTCACATTCCAAGCAGACCGTGAGAGAAACTGCTGATCTCAGGGCATCCTGGAAGCTGAGTGTGCAACAGGAAGGTGCCAGGACAAGACATACCCTTCAAAATCATGGCGACCACTTTCAACCAGGCTTCACTTCATGGCATTCACCACTTTCCAATAATATCATCATATTATGACTCCATCAGCAGACTAATCCATTTATCAGGTGATGATCAAATAAACCACCTTTGACTGACTGGATCCAGCATCTGAGGACCCTCCTTTAACATAGGACTGTTTTGAGGAATCCTTCATATCTAAACTGTAAAACATAACTGAAGCCCACTTCTAAATGCAGTGAACAAAATAAGCTTAATTCCTTGCTTTTTATTTTGGGCAGGAACTTCTATAAACCCAAGGCAACTCCACAGCAGTTCTCCAGTGGCAGCTAGCACAGAGAGCTTGCCACATTCCACATTTCCCGACAGAGAACCAACATTGAAAGTACACTGTGCTCATGTAAGAAAAAATATCCACCCTCCCTTCTCTGCAGGGTCCTCATATGATGAGCCCTAGTTCTTTACTGCTTGGGCTTCTGTTCCTAGACATTAACCCTGAGCAGCATCCTCATAGTACAGGCCTCTGCCAGATGGGCACTGTCCCCAGCCTCCATGGAGGGTTGCTTTGGATGGGCCAGCACAGAAAACTGCTTGGCACAAAAGCTGTCTACTCACGCCATGGCAGCTCTGCCAAAGAACAGTGTGCAGACCCTAACCTAAGCTGTCCTGGACAACAGCAGCCTGCTGGGTTAGCAAACAGTACTTTAGGGCACCTATGCTGCAAGACAAACCTCTGATTCAGGACAGGAATCCGCTGCATCCTCCTCCTCTCTTTCTGTGTGGGAGTGAGGATGCAGGAGGAGGGAAGTCTGATAGTTCCTCCCTGCATTCCTGAGTTCAGTGACTTTGTGAGTTTTCCCTTCTGGGGAGGCACAACTGGACAAAGAACAGCTAGGCCAGGATATTCTAAATCAAGAAATACAATTTCATTCTGAATCACCACCACCTTAGGTTAACTGCCCAACCTCAACACACACACACACACACACACACACACACACACACACACACACACACCCACCCACACACACACACACCCATCCCAGTATACATTATTATCTTGAGAAAGCCATCCAAGACAGTTTAAACAGCTGGAGGAGCTGAAATCTATTCAAACATAATTGCACCCATGTATTCACAACAGAGATGAGAAAACAGGAAGCTCTGGGAGTTGCTGTGAGCTGCCCCCACCTTGATGCCTAGAGGATACTCTAAATGAAGAACATGGCTATGAAAGGACAGTCAGGATGTACCTTCTGCTCAGTAGATTGGACATCTGGACTTTACTTCTCCAAACCACACAGATTTTGGTAAATGTCCTTAACTTATTAAAAAATGGGTCTTAAATAAAAATTACAATGATTTTAAAAGTGAATTGATGCTGTAGGTTAAGTGAGGAATGTCTCCTTTAGGGTTCTTCTTTAAATGCTGAGTCCCTAGCCTGTGGACTATTATGAAGGATGTGGAATCTTTAGGAGATAGGGTCTTACTGGGTAAGAGGGCCAGCTAGGAGGAGGTCTTTGAAGGTTGCATTCCAGGCTCTGGCCTGCAGTCTCTGCCTCTTGCTTTATTATGGTGTAAGCAGCCTCTACCATGTGATTGGCTACCATAAACTCCTCCATGCCTTCCCATCACAAGGGGCTGAAATTCCTCTGAAACTGCAAGCCAAATAAATCCTCTCTCCTTGGAGATACTTCTCTGATGTATTTTGCCACAGTGCAGAGAAAAGCAATTAATAAAACTTCTTAGAATATAACTGTCTATCTGACTTTTATAAATAAGTCTCATTTTATGGGGGGAAAAGATATACATCATCTGTATTTGTTTACAAAAAAGCAAGTCCAGATTCCAATGTAGTATGAGGAAAGTATTTTTTTCCATCAAGATGTAAATATAGATAAAGTATAATCACATTTCAGGTTGGATCTTAGCCCAAATAAAATATGGATCTCTTCAAAAAGAGACTTATAAATAGTTTTCAGATACAGAGGCATCAGATGAGAGATAAGTAGCAAGCAGTTAGACATGTAAATTTGCACCAACTTCCCCAGTTCAGGAGGAAAAAAATTTAAGGAAGCACTTTTTAATAACCAGGTAATGAAGATTGCTGTCAGTATGTAATTTAAGGTAACTATGATGTCAAAGATGATGGGTTATTTTGACTGAAGCACTGCAGCCCCCTTTAAAAGAACTATTCATAGAAGATCTTACATATTTCTTATTTTGAAAACAGAGATTCCCTGCTTCATTTCAGGGAAGAGGCATGCCATCACTCCATCAATCTTGTCATTTTTCTCTCAGCTTTAGTGACTATGTTATGGTAAATTTTTACAACAGTAATTATATGCCTTCTGGTTTTATTGTCTTGTTACATGTTATAATCATGCCGCTGTCAGCCATAGCTCACTTCTTCCCTTCTTTTGTGATCCAATGTCCCCAAATGGGCATCAACCATGTCTTCCCATAGAGAGAGAATGTTCTTAGCTGGGCATCTTTTCTACCTTTAGCTGCATCTTGTTTGAGGGAAGCAGGACTAAGATGTCTATCTTGGGACCTTTGTCACAGAGCTAAGTTTAAAAGCAACAAAGTGTAGTTCATAGTGCAAGTACTCCGTGGACAGTAATGGACTTTCTTCTGTGAGAGCAGACAAATGGCTCTTCATTGATGAAGGAAATACAGAATTGACCCCGTGTCATCAGTTCATCAGTGACTCCTGTATCTAGGGTAACACAGGACAATAGCCACTCGAACCATTTGCTTTTCTCTGCTGACTTGTCTTAACTGACTATCAATACGTTACTCAGACCGGCTTTTACAAACTACCAAGCTCAATTGATATTCTGTCTCTGCTTCCTGAGTAGGTGAGATGATAGCTGTGCCGCTGTGCCTGGCTCAAAACTAATTTTTTTAAACTCAAGTGATGGCTATGAAAATTAGGATGCTGCTTGTCTATGGGCCCAAGACTGGGAGATGTGACTTATGAATATGTTGCTTATTCTTTGTTAGTTACATAAGCCAAATTTTAAATTACTAAAAGCCAGTTAAACTGTTAAAGCAATATGGTGTGGTGTCACTATATGAACAAGCATGAATCTTTTCCCTTGTGTTCTACCTGAATGTGAAGGCGGGAAAGGATCTATTATAAATACACTTTAAAACCAATTGTGGGATGCTAGCACTCTATTTCTCCACCAAAGTCAATGTGGATAAATAAACCCACTTACCCAGAGCAAGCCTGGCTCCTTCATTAGGAGGCAGACCCAAGGTAGCAGGCACTAGGGTGGTTATGATCAGTTCTGGGGTCTTAGGATAAGGGGAGGTGAGGCACAGGATTAAGCCTCATGGCAAATATACAGAGCTCATGCTTTCTTGATGCTTTCTATGAATTTGGGAATAAGTTCTCAGTGATCTCCTTTCATGTGAGTCTTCTGGAAATATCCTAAAAACAACTTGAGACCCTATTGGTAATGTTGCCTGAAACCTAGAGGCTACTTTGAATTCCTCCTCAAAATGGAAAATAGTGATTGCTTTCCACGTGATTTTGAACCACTGGTTTAAAGTGTCTTGGTGGGTATAAGGACAAACACACTACATGGGAATAAATTTCAATGGAACTGACTAATTTCCATTTTCATTGTTTCTTCCAGAACAACTGCAATGTGCCTCTGCTGGATCGTGGACAGTTTTCCTCTCAACCCAGGGCCCTGGGGATTGAGGTTCCCAGGTTATGAGGTCAGGGGATTGCACGCGCTTACTGTGTGGCTGCAGTGTCCATTCAGGTGCAGGCCACTGTCAAAGAGAGGCGATGAGGCCCTGCTGCTGTGGTCACTTGATGGCCCTGGGGACCCTGAAACAAAATGAGAGGCATTCATTCCAGATGTAGTTGTCAGCTACATTGTGTGTGACTATATGACTGCAAGGTAGCTAATCACACTATTAGAACCAGCAGTCCATTGTTAGGACCCTCTCAGGGATTGGAACTGACATTGGGGGTAACTCTTTGTTCTACTTTATTAGCCAGAGGCTTCCCCTCCTATCCTAGAACCTGGTGGCCCCATCAGTGACCCTAGTGCTATCACTTGCCTGTCATGTCATAATGCGCTATCAGGATGCAGAAAAGAATAGGACCATGTGTCATTGCAGTCTCTTATCTCCGTTATTACGGCATATCCTCTCAGAGTTGCTGATTGGTGGATGACATTTGGGTCTCTCATTGCTACAGACAGGTAGCATGAAAATATAGACAATGCAGGCAAAGATGGGGTAACCTTGCCTCAGTTACACCCCCACTATCACAATCATCTAAGAAGTGAGATAAAATTCATTTGTGTATTATTTACAAATGCAGTGAATTTGCTCGTATAAAAAGAAAAAAGTAAATATGGCATGTGTATCATTAGTAACCATCACTGTTTCCCAGATTGGGTGGGTGACTGATATATTTTCTCGTGTGTCTTTTGGCAGCTAAGTGTCCCACTCTTATGGGAGATGATCTGACTCAAAAAGATTTTCTCGGGGCTAACATGTAAAAGCTAACCCTTAGCACATTTGACCCAGTCCAGAGACAACAAGGGAGATAACTCCCTTTTTAAAATCAATCCTGCAACCAGCTTTCAAACACATGTAACAATCAAGTTAAACTAGTAGTTTCATTGAGAATTGTGAAGGGAAGCTTGAGGCCATTCCTAAGGCTTCAGGCCATTCACTCAATGTCCTAAGGGCAACTCTAAGAAAAAGACTATATTCTGTGACTACATCCAGCCCCATTTTTTCCTGCAGACAATAAGTGTGGGCAGATCCTGTGTGTCAGTTGTTTCTTTTTTTTTTTTTTTTTTGAGTTACTGTCTCATAAAGGCAGATGGTGAACACTATTGCCTGATGACCAGACTCCCAGAGAGATTGAGCATCTGGTAGCACCATAAGAAACCGTCTAGAATCCAAGAGCAGAGAGACAGCCCTGAGATTAGGACTTCTGAGCCCTTGGAAAACAAGCAGAAGTTCCTAGGACAGCAGTGGCAGGCTTATCACGGACTAGCTGCAAATCACTGTAATGCTATCAAGAAAAGGAAACAGGAAGGCAAGTCCTCTCCCCACCAGCCACCTGCAGGAAAAGGCGGCAGAAGGGAACCAAGAACGGGGTGGACACCGTCCTGCATGTCCTACATGTCAGTTCTTGACCATGTCAGCTCATCCCTGGGACTATAGTAAACTGTCAGCCCTCCTCAGTGCACATGGACACGGGGTGCCTAGTGAAAAAAAAGGCTCAGGGGCTGACTGCTCATCTCCAGTCTACTTGTGCACCTCCCAACATGCGTAGCCCAGCAAGTTAGGGCCCCTTTCCCATCTACATCATATCTGTTAGGACGAGTACTATAAAGCACTTCACCATATTCTTATATGGTCTGGGAGACACAAGAACTCTTTGACTTTATTTGAACGAACCATATTGACAAGTGAGCATTCTCTGCTTGTTTAGTATCCTAGGTACATATAGTTGTTGCCCAGTGGAATCTATACCAGCCCAGGCTTTTGCTATTTTACATCACAGAGTGCTGTTTTTGCAGTAACATAGAGACTGTTTTTGTTGCTTTAGTATTTCCACGTATACTTTAGGACAGTCCATGCAATGCTTTCCAAAGTCTTTCATTTATATACAGAATCAAGTTGTCATTATTTGAAAGGAAGATGAAAACATTTTGAACTGCCTATATACCCCTAAATTCAACAAGGTAATGCTGTTGTTCTAGGTGACACTGACAAATGCCACCATAAACACATGTCTGAAGAAGCAATGGGTAGTAAGTGAAGAAATTTAAAATTGATAATCTCTTATAGACATTGGATTCCTATTCATCAGTTTTTCAGTAAACTGTCAGCTTTTCTTCTGTATCCCCAAAGAAAAATTTGAATAGTTCTACCACTGTTTTGTTTACCACAAGATCATGCATTTTTAAGGCTGGTAAGTGTTAGTAATTGTGATGTGTGTGTGTGTGTGTGTGTGTGTGTGTGTGTGTGTGTGTGTGTGGTGTAGGGAGAACATGTTCATTTGTTAACAGCTGCATGTGTGTGGAGAGGTACATGCACATGCATGCATGTAGGAATTGAGGTCAGAGGACAACTTCATCTGCCCTTCTTCGGGCATCCTCCACCTTGTATTTTGAATTGAGTCCTCTCCCTGGCTTGAAGCCCTGAAGTAGGCTAGGGAGACCCAGGAAGCCCCACTCCTCTGCTTCTCCTGAACTGGGATCATAACTGGATCTCTCAATGCCTGGCTGTTTTTAATGTAGGTCCTGAAGGATATTTTCAAGACAAGCACTTTACTGCCTAAGCTATCACCCCAGCCTAGTATTAGCAATAATTAATCATGTAAAAAGTTGTTAAAAGAACAAAGGAAAATACACACAACCAATAGTTATAAAACTCTTTCCTTCAAGGACTGAACTACAATCTATAAACATCAACAGCCAGACTCCACGCAGCAGAGCCACAGAGGGAAGCATTATGGAAGATGCTCTAAGCTAAACATGGCATTATCATATGATCCCAAACCCCCTTCTCTAGGTAGAGACGTAACAAAGCTGTCCAAACAAAGCCTGTTGATGAATGTTCGCAGCAGCATATTCATAACAGCCCAGAAATAGAAGCAAGTGTTCATTAGCTAAAGGGTGATGGAGCAAGGTCCTACAACCATATAAAGCAGAGTTATGCAGTGGTAGCAGTGAACTTTGAAAGTGTCATGGTATGTGGAAGGAACAGCAAGCCAAGGTCACACATTGTATGAATACACTGATACACATTTCCAGAAAAGGCAAATCCACAGAGGCAGAAAGCAGTGACTTTCAGAGGCTGGGGGGAGCAGAATAGGAGTGGACTGATGGCTTGTGGGGGAACCTCCTCTGAGTAGTAGAATGTCAAGAAATTTAATCAGTGGTGATGGTGTATAACACAGTGAACTACTACAACAATGTGCAAAGTCTATCTATATAAAGATGCCAAGTGTCTGAGATTCTGAAAAAAAAATACACAGATCTGTTCACTCAGTCTCACTCTGTATTTATTTTCCCATTAATATCAATTTAAGAATGCTGAAATGGACATTTTTCTTTACTGTTGTTATGTTTTTCTATATCAGCAATCACCTCTGTGGGACAGATGTTGCTTCAGACAAACAAGCAACCCAACAGAATCTACTCAGTCAGAAGCAATTTTACCTCAGTGATATGTATTCACCAAAGGCCATTTTGCATGGATTTATGGAATGATTATGGCCCTTGTGTTTAAAATTTTATAGATACCAGGATTGAACTATTTTAGGTTGTAAAGAACCAAATAAAAGGAGAGTAGACATCTATAGAATTAATGGAGTACTTATCATCTACCTCTGGAGTTCTGCATTACCCCTGAGCACTGGGGTTCACAGGAGTTCAAGGTGGATCTAGCTACAATGGTTAGTCTCTGCACAGACTTTCAGCAAAAGGGCTCACAGGAGTTCCCAGATAACTGAAAGTTTGGGCCAAACACTCAGATTCCAGTAAAACCTGCGAATAAAAGTTACTGTAAGGTTTCTTGGTTTCAAGACCTTGGAGGGAGCTTCAGAGCCATGGTGAACTTCCCTTTTCAATAAACAGATATTGAAATCTTCATGGCTGTCAGTTCTACTGCTCCTATTATACAAGTGTTAGCAGACACCAAACACTATCTCTTCTTTATCAAGTCATGTTACTGACCTCTGATGGAAGGTAGGGAAAGCTATGCAAGTGTTCTCTTGTCTATGTGGTTCCTGCTGTCTTTTGGGCCAGGCTATAACTAACCCTGACTTTCAATCTCAGTACAAAGGCACACTCAGAACACACAGTTATGCCCATGCACAAGGTGAAAGAAAATCACTTGGAGGTAGGATGCTATACACAAGGCTCTACTTGTGCAAGAATAAGATGAAAAACATTTGTTTAACACTTTCGCCAATATCCTATATTCTGGAGAACAGAAGTGCTGGGGGTTGAGTATTAAAAACCCCCATTACTTACAATTAGGAAATTTCCACCATCCTTATGTAGTTTGGATATGTGTGCTTCAAAGGCCATGTACTAAAAGGCTTAGTCTCAGCCTGCAGCACTACTGGTATGCAGAGGCTCTGATAGGAAGTGGCACTCACACAGACAATGTCTAAATGGGAGGTATCCATTACATACCTCTCCTCAAAGCTTAGGGAACTCCATGGAAGAGCAGGCGGGAAGAGTTAAGAGTCAGAGGGATGGAGGACACCAGGAGAACAAGGCCCTCTAAATCAACTAAGTAAGGTGTATATGAGCTCCCAGAAACTGGACCAGCAGCATGGGGCCTACATGAGTCTGTAACCAGGTCATTCATATATATATATATATATATATATATATATATATATATTAGATTTTAGCTTAGTATTTTTTATGGGACTCCTGGGTGTGTGAATGAGTGAACCTCTGACTTTAGTGCCTGCTCTTGGGACTCTTTTCCTCAATGGGTTGCCATGTCCAACTTCAATATGATAGGTCTTTTTTTATTTATTGTATTATATTTTATTTTTCCACAATACAATCTTAGTCAAAACAAGAAAAAAAAAAAAAGAGAGAGAGAGAAAGAGAAGTGGTACTTAGTGGGAAGAAGTTAGGTGATGTGCCCTTGTCGCCTTCTTCTGTCTCTGTCTTTGCTTCCTGACCACTAATGTAAGCAGTTGCTTCCTCCAAACATCCCTAGTGTAGCTCCTAAATGCCTAAAGCAACAGGGTCAAATGATAATGAACTGAAATGTCTTCAACTGCGAGCAGACAAACCAGAAGTCCTCCGTAAGTTATTCTCCCCAGTGTTTTGTTCTAGCCATGGAGCATTGAAAAATACATGCCTCTTGACATTTTCTATCCTTGGAGATCCATGTGTCACCACATACATAGCAGTGGGACTGGCCATTACAGAGGTCCACTCTGCTAGTCACACTTTCACGTCTCACTGTTACAGAACTTCTGTCTACATTCAACAAGACCTATTTCCTGGCTTAGCTTTCCAACTACCAAGACCTGCTCCTGACTTCACTGTCTGAGTTTGTAGAGTTGGTCAAGAAGAGGAAATACTGAAAAGTACTATTTACAATTCTCTCCTTATTTTTTATATTTGTCTTCTTTTATCACACTACTGTTCTTGTTCTCTTTCTGTGTCTGTCTAGGGCTCCTCCCCTCATTTAACACCTTTATTTCTTCCATTTCAACTCTCCCTGGTAGCAGTGATAGAATACTGAGTCTTGCATCACTCCCTCATGTCCTTCCCACATTATTTAAATGACTTGTAGAAGAGTGCTTGTCATCTACTGCTCTTCCTCCATTTCACAAAGATGTGATCCCTAGGAACACAGGGCAGGTAGCTACTTTTATCCATGAGTCTGCACACAAGATACCAATTTCTCTTATAGTCAATATCATGATCATTCCCTGAGGTCTCTTGGAGATGACATGTTCAAGGGTCCCAGAGAGAAGATGCTAGAAGAAAGGTCTAACTCTAATGGCTCTTAGGACAGAGCATGAAATGAGTGCATGGCCAGCATCCACAGCTGACAGGCCTTAGGAGCAGCCCCCAGGCCATTTACACAGTAAATAGGGAGATGCTAACAACAGGGTTACAAAAATGGAAGATATGGAAGGTAAGCATGCAGGAGGGACCAGGGAGAAGGAGCCATGTTTTCTTGCAAGAAGAGGATGGAGAGAAGAATCAGTCAGGACATTAAAGGAAAGCTAGCACAGGCCAAGCAGGTTCCTGCTGCTGTCAGCTGCCCCTGTACTTGCAGCGGCAGAAAGTTAGCTCTATGGAGGCTGAGCCTTGCCTTTCAGACCTTTCCTAGAAGTAGAAGGCAGCATCTAGGAGAGGGCCCACACATATCCAAACAAAGAGCAGGACCTTCTGTTAATTGTGACAGCTATGGAGAATAATGGAAGTGCTTTTCTAGGCTTGACACTCTGGCTGGGCCACGTACAGCAGAGTATCACATCCTCTGCCTGGTCATGGTAGGTACATTAGCATGACTGGACTGTGTACTTAATATGAGATCAACCTAGATATTATGGATACAAACTACATATATGCACATGAATATATGTGTAAGTAACTGTGTGTGTGCATGTATGCATGTTAGTGCATGTATGAGTGTATGCATATATGAATGTTAGTATGTTAGTATGTGATTGTATGTGTGTGTGTTGTGTGAATGTGAAGAAACACACAGAGTTGCTTCTGATTATGATGCCTGAAGGACCTTATGATCCTGGTATGCACCTCTGTCTCTATAAATCAGTTTTCTCCCTGAGCATGTGCTTGGGAAATAATTGATACCCACTGTGCCAAGATATATGGATAAATAATGTGGGAAGGAAGAAAATTCCACAACAACCTAAAATCTCTCCCCTTCCCACTTACCTAATGGGAGCTTCAGAAATGAGGGCGCTTCTCTGAGATACTCAACAGTGATGGTAACGTCATCTCCAGCAGTTCTCAAAAGATGCACCTGTTCAGAAGGTGAGAATAGTACTTCACCATCACAGAACCAGACATAGTGCAAAACCAAGTCTTTGATGATCTTTCCTGCTCTCCAAGAACTCATTTCAGAGTTACTTCTAAGACACTGACACTCTGTAGGACTAAAATGAGGTAAAGACGATTGGCTATGTATATTTAAGAGTGCACAGCACTTGTGCTTTGTCTATGAATGTGTGGATATTGAAGCATCCATGTTTATTCAAAAGGCAAGGCTGCCTGCATGACCAATGGTTTAACCTACCAGAAAGTAAGATTCTATACACAAGAACTCAATTTGCTAGTACAAAAAGCTGAATGTCAGAAACTGGCGAAAGACATACCAGATGAATGACTGTGACATACCACATAATTTCAAAGGTCAAATATCACTTTAACTCAGGAAAATTCATGTAGGTTTAGTTTTAGTCACACATCTCATGTCCATTACTTAGGGAACATAAAGTTAGCTTTCAGTAATACTGTAATTGTTGTTTAGTGGATTTTATTAAAACACTATCAGTCTACATGCTATTTATTAAGACCAACTGGGGCAATCACAAAGTTTTACCATCCAAGGCTCATCAACTGTCTCCTTGAACCTTTACCACTGCATATTCCTGACAAAACTCCCACATTCTTTCTGCTCTCCAATTTCTTCATGTAGCACCCTCAGCAATTCTTACTTGGGCAGCTCAGTATAGAATATTGGGTTAAACTCTTGCTGGAGCAGGGGAATAAACTGAAGAGTGAAGAGACACAGTTGAAGGTTCTCTGGCCTCTAGCATCAACATTCTTCTATGTCTTCCATGGTCAGAACTACCTGTTCAGCTCCATCTGATCACACCCTCCAACATGAACACCTCTTGAGTTGGCCAGACCTTTTAAACAGACCAGACATTCTGTGCCCACCAGTTTATCTGTGCTGAATAGAGCCTGCTCTAGGCCACCTCCATGACATGACTGTTCTTCCAAGTCCTTAGGCTTCTACTTATAGTGAGATATCCACCCTGCCCACACCTGTTGCACTGACCATGCCCATTGGGGTGAGGGGACAGGCACAGGTGTGACCTGGGGGAACTAGGTCTGGGGTGCTAGACTCCAGCTCTCTCTGTCTTACTTTCTAATCAGAGACAGAAATCATCCCAAGGCATCCTTGGGATGGGAACCTGCTGGCGGTCATCTGTTTCTGGTATAAGTGATTTCTCCCCGAATAAACATCAATCAGCCTATCGTTCTCCCAGATTCTTATTTATCCATGCTATATCTACTGGACCATGGTCTCTCTCACAGACTTTCTTTCCACTGGAATTGCTGAAGCCCCACCCCTACCCCGCCTACTCTCATTATGCATTTTGGATGTCCCTCCCCTTATTGTTGTCACTAGTGACCAGGAGTTTACAGTACCCATGTTGCAGACATGTCATACTCCCTGTACCCATGTGGTATAGAGTATTAACTTGCTTCATAGCTTTCAGGGTTCAACCCAAAGGTGAGGCAGAGCCAAGTTGATACCATCTCCCCACAGCACTCACCTTCACCTGCTGCTCCTGTAAGGGCACACAAACTGAGCCAAGGGAACGACATACCACTTGTCATTCCCCCTCACCAGACAGCTGTCATCCCCCAAATGTGCAGCCTATATCTTCACAATTCTGTTAGTATAAACAGACCAGAAGAAGTGTACTGAGCAGGGAGAGGGCTTCTCCTTGCTTGGAACACATCTCAGGAGGTGACCCATTGGCACTTATTCCTCGGCCAGCCCAAGGAAGTGTGACTGCATTTCCTTGGCAAGCAAAATGCATAAGTATGTGAGAAAAGCTGCATCTTCTGTCTTCAGAAAAGTATCTTGTAAATCTCACTCGAGGATTCTTTATCTCTGGACATCAGATGCTTAACAGTGGGCAGGGGATGTCTGCAAAGGCTCATGAGTGAAGAGTTACCTGCAATACCCTGCGTCCTGAGATGCCAGTGCAGATCAATTGCAAAGAACAGAGACAGATATGATTGAGATGTGTGAAACCTAGGTTGTCATAATGCCCCACCCCCCACAGCACAGCCAGGTTACAATTGTCCTGTAGATCTGCAGGTGAGTGTGCATGCATGTGAGTGTGTGTGCATGTGTATGTATGTATGCATTCACAGTTGAATTAAATAAAATAAAAATTACATCTCTTTAATGAATTCCACAGCCCTTCAGCAGAGCAAGTGTAATATGTGATCACATATTTATATGATCATGTATTTATAGATAACTTGATAGATAATTTTGTCTGAGTGTAAAAGGGCCATCAGGAAGAATGTAGCCCCAAACACTCAAGAACTTTCTTTTAATTAAAGGTTAGACACATTTGGCTATTTTTTAAATCTCAGAATGCTCATATTTCTCTGATCTTTCAGGATAATATATGGTTGAGACATACGTCGTGACTCACTAGCAATCCTTTTCTTCAAGGTCAAAGCCTGTGTGTGGAGCAAGAAAAAAATGGCATTGGCCTCAGATGTTACCATGTTCTCAATGACCTACAGCACTTATTCCCTCAGCAGATCAATGCCTTGCACTGACAGGAGTGGGAAGCAGCAGCTCTTTCTGCTAGCAGCAACCACAGTTGCCTTTTGTAATTGCTGCCGTTCCTGGAGACAGTTGCTTTGAGCCACATCCCTGATTGTAGTACATATCTCTCTGGGCCCGTTGGTACAGACTGCTGTTCTCATCTGATTTTTGGCCATGTCCTCATAGGTAAGCCTTCTTAAAAAGGATCCCACACCTTAATTTTTTTCTATACTTCTGTACCATCTGGGACAGTCTCCACATGGGATTACCTAAAGCTGACTCTTCAGATTATCCAAACCCACAGTAAATAAACAGCAGAAATTTCCTTCTCAGGGTGTGGGTCCTGGAGTTGACACGTCTGAGCTCAGCATGTTAGCAGAGTTGATTCCCATGACATATTCACTGTCCTGCAGCAGGAGAACTGTGTTCACCCATGGAAAGAAACACTCATATGTCATCTTCCAAGGGCCCCACCTCCAAGAACTCTGTCTATAAGAAAGAACTGATGGCAACCCAAAGTAAGGGCACTGGGACCTCAGATCTTTAGAGTTCCCCAGATTACTAGGGACATGAGTGGGTGTTCCGTATGGGTAGACTGCACAATTTTGGATACAAAAGTATTTAAAAACGCCATGAAAGAATGCATACTTTTGCCACCATTCCCATCTCAAACTTCCAGGCCAATGTAAAGTTGTTAGTATCTTTACAAAAACAGTCATAGTAAAGTCCTGTCTCTGATCTCAAGGGAGAGTTGACCTTATCTGTAAAAAAAATCATTGGTCTCCATTTGCCTAGTGACCAACATGAGTGGATCCTCAGTACTGTGGCATGTAAGAGTGACACACCATGAGATTATTCATGATAACGTCTCAATTTTTACATCAATGGATACGTGCCCTGAACTCTGCCTACAACAGACATCACATGCTTATGATTTCCTGGTTTTCCTTAGTCATGTGTGACTCAGGAATGTTCCTGATTTAGGTTTGCAGAGTGCGTCTATCACTAGGGTCTTCTCACTGATCCTTGATTCATAGGCTTTGCCTGGTCTTCAAAGCAGGAACTACTGCTGGTATTCACTGTGTTTCCCCGCTGTCTCGTGTTTTTTCTTTTATAAACTTGCTCCTCCATCCTTGACACCTCTTTGTTTAAATTCCTACGTTAATCCTGCTTTAAATCTCTGATGAGAAAAAACAGATTTTTAAAAACTTTCTTGCAAGTTTAAAAGCTGCCAACTACCCAGAGGTAGCACTTAACTGTGTCTCGTAACTCTGACATAAGAAATGTTTCAATAGTGTTCATGCTATCTTTTATGATTAAAAAAAATATTTGGTATGTGTTTGTTTATATTATAGAAATGTGAAAACCTTTCAAAGAAGAATCATTTTGTTGACCTGAAAAAAATCTGTGCTAGGATTCCTTTTGTGGCTTAAACTACATCAAATATTCCATGTATTCCTAGTTACATTTGTATGAACAAAGCAATTGAAAAAAAATATATGGGAAACATAAATTAATTTAAAAAATAAAATAGCTATATGCAAATGTGTATATGTGTGTATTAGTGTGTGTTAGTGTAAATGTATATGTAAGGCTCTAAGTGCATAAGCATGAATCTGGAAATATGTATATGTAAGTGTAAAACTCACATTCTGACTAACTAAAAGAACTAAGCTTTTAGTCTCTTCCATTTCTTATTCCTAACATTGTAAAGAGCTCATACCATCTGTAGAAGAGGCAAAGGGAGCATCCATAATACTGTTCTCTTTATTCCAAGTACAGGACCAGATTGCTACAAGGTCTGGAAGATTCTATCACCCAAAGAGAAAAAGCTACATGGAGTTTCCCTAGCTCACTTCCTTGTAAAACACATCAAATTCTTGATGGTAGAGCCCAGTGAGTTGAACTTAATTTGAGCATTTCCCCTTTACAGTTTCCAGTGTTCTTTGAGCACAGAAAACAAGAGTTAGAACCTTCTAGACTTGGGAGCAGCATGCCAGCTTGGACTTCAGCTGAACGTAAAGCCATGTGCTTGGAGCATCACCTCATCTTCAGCCTGCAGATCTGAGTATGTGAATGGCATGCTCATTGTAAACTGGATCTCACCTTCCAAGCTGACTCATGCCAATGAATTGATTTAAATGATTTAAACTCAATCTTTGCTCCCTACCCCCAAAAGGGGCATTAAAGAGACTCAGGCTGTGTAATCAGCCAGAGAAAATGCTTGAGATTCATGGTGGTCAGAGGTAGTCTCTGTGAGAGTCTAGGCTTTTGGGAATACAGATGTATTAAAATCTAGTCCTCCCTCTTTCCTCTCCCTCTTCTCTCCCAGCATCTCCAATACTGCACCCCTCCTTTTCACTCATCTGGAGAAATTAAGATCTTCATTCCATGCTTAGGTGAAAGGTGTGCTGTGTTCTCACCACCAGACTTGCCAC